TGGACCGCGGCGGCGCGGCCCGGACGAGACACACAAGTCCACGACGCCGCGCCCCGGCAGCACGCGTGCAGCACGTGTGCCTGTTTGTGTCCGTGACGACGCGCGACGACACGTGACGACACGTGACGAGGCTGTGACGACACGATGTGACTCACTCCAGCGGACACCCGGCAGCATTGGAGTACGCGATGCCGTGAAGTCCCGGGTGCGCCCCGGACGGACAGCCACCGCCATGAGAGCGAACTTCCCCGCCGAGGCCGGCGCCGAGGATGGTGGGCCCGAGGCCAAGAGGTCCCACCTGGAGGAGGACGTGAGGGTGAGTGCGGCGGCGGCGGCGACCCCTCCCCAGGAAGTGAGACGAGCGGAGTCCACGGAGGGTTTCCTTGCTCAGGACCGCCTGTCGTCCGAGCTCTCCGATCGGGACCGGGACCGGGACCAGGACCTGGACAGGGAGCGGGACCATGCCGACGATGCCGACCCCGAAGAGAGGCTGGAGGAATCCGAGGAACACGCCAGGCTGCAGGCCGGCCTCCAGGGCGTGCTCCAGGGAGGCCTCGGCGGCTTCCAGGCGGGGCTGCGCGCCGAGGAGCTGTTGCGTCAGCGCCAGGAGGAGGACATCCGTGCCGTGCACAAGTCCTTCTTCATCCGGGACCTGCTCGGGGACGTGTTTGCCGCCAGGACCGCAGGTGAGCCCCTAGCCGGTCCGACCCGGCGCGCCCGCGGAGTGCGGGATAGGCAACCCGGTGCGCACCACTGCTCGACGGGGCGGTGTCGCCGGCCGCTCGGGCGCTGGCTGCCCCGCCACCCTCCTGTAACGTGTCAGGGTACGACACCGCAGAGTACGGGTCTTCCTCGCCCCACTCGTAAAACGCCATGGCCCCCGGGGTAGGTAAGCCCGCAACACTGCGGTGTCGCAGCTGACAACACACGGTACTGAGGTGCGGTGTGAGGGAGATGGAGATAGCTCGAGATAGCTGCTTCCGAAAATACCGGGAGTGCAAAAGAGAAGACCTCCAGGACAGATAGGAAGAAAAGTGGATTCACCCCCGCCTCCCTTCTTTCATTTCCATAATTCATATAAGCAGCGCTATCATTGCATTTCACTATTTGCCATTATGTCCATACTTTTTGATGAAGCGTTGTCGCGTGCGTAACTTCTCAGGAACAGGCCGAGCCCGTGGGAAAGGCATATCGGTATAGCGCACGAACCACGCCAGGACACCGAAGTCCTCCCCGCGCCCGCAGCGCGCCCGCGGGGGGCTGCATCGCGTACACACACAAACCCCTCGCACTTGACAGAGACCAGAGCAGGGAGGCTGAGGCTCGCCCCGTGAGGCCGGCAGGGACCCTCGACTCGATGTGCAGCCTTGTGATGATTCTATCGGCTCCTCGATCGACCGTGATGCCACTCGTGGCCTACCTCTTGGCCCCTCGCCCCTCCCCCTCTCCCGCCGCAGCTCCTCTCTCGACGTGCGGCGCTGTCGTGGCGAACCAGTGTTGGAAGAGTCGCGACATCCTGCGTTTAAATTTCCACGCCTTTATTTGCACCAAAGCCCTGTACCTCGACCTTCCAGACAGGCGTCCGACAGCGTCTTGTAAGTGCGCTCTGCGCCATGGTTCACTCTCACTGCCACCCGTTCTGGCGCCAAATAGTCACACGATGCCATGCCCGCCCGCCCGGTGCATGTCTCTGATTCGCACTGTCATCCCTTCAAACACAAAACAGTAATTTTGTTGCTTAGCTCCAAATTGACGTAAATGATTATGTTTTGGTAAAGATCTGGATAAAATATGAAAATATGACTTCAGATGAACATTTTACTTGATTAGAGTCCGGTTTCATCAACTGCCGCTCACTTTCGCAGTGTCCGCCCCGAGCGACTCCGACTCGGACGCGCCGCTGGACGTGGACGACGACGGGGAGCCGGAGCGGCCGGAGAGACGCTTCCTCGGGCTGCACCTGCCGCTGCCGCTGGCCCAGCGGCTGTCGGGCCCGTTGGGCTCGCTCGGCCTCGGCCTGCAGGGCCTCCAGGGCATGCCGCTGCCGCCGCTGCCCGGCCTCGGGGCGGGCCTGTCCCTGCCGCTGCCCCGGCCGCAGGCGCTGGCCTCGCCCTCGTCCACGGCCTCCCCGGCCTCGCCGCACTCCGGTACGTCCACGTCGTCGCCCTTTTACTATGGTTGCTGCGCCCCTTGCGAACTCCCCTCGGAAGTCACTAAAACAGCGTCCTTCGTCGCCCTTGCAGTCGGCGGGTCGGAGGCAGCGTCGTCCACCCGGGAGCAGCCGCGGTCCTCCGGGGGCGGCTCGGGCTCCAGTGAGGGGGCGGGCGGCGGGGGCGGCTCTGGGGGCGGCAGCCGCAGCCGCAAGCCCCGACGGCGCCGCACCGCCTTCACGCACGCCCAGCTCGCCTACCTGGAGCGCAAGTTCCGTTGCCAGAAGTACCTCTCCGTGGCGGACCGGAGCGACGTCGCCGACGCCCTCAACCTGTCCGAGACCCAGGTTAAGACGTGGTACCAGAACCGCCGGACCAAGTGGAAACGGCAGAACCAGCTGCGCCTGGAGCAGCTCCGCCAGCACGCCAACATAGACGACCTGCTGGCGCGGTCGGGGGCGGGCGACTGCTGCGGCCCGCTCCACCCCCCGCCCGCCCC